GGCTTCCAGTGGGAAAGGGGAGCTCGGGGTGGGATCTTGGGAAGGAATTCCTGGCTGGGCTGGAATTCCCAGAGAATCCCTGGCAGTGTCCCAGGACAGGGATCCCACTCCCCCATTCCTGGGATGAGCTTTTCCAGCCTCTTCCAGCTCCGGGATAATTCCTTCTCCCCCCATCCCGAGCTGCAGGATTCCTGGGAATTCCATGGATTCCATGAAAGGCAGGGAAGAGATTTCTCTCCCCTCTCAGCATTCCCGGGCCTCTCCCGCCTCCGGGATTTGTTGCCATGGGGTTGCCATGGAATTTGTATCCGCAGTTTCCATGGAAATCGCAGGAGGCCGGGAATGGGATATGGGGGGGGTGGGGGCGCTGCCAGGGCCCCACATGGAAAAAAATTCCAGGCCTTCCCAACCTCTGGTTCCCCAAATTCTCCTCTTTTCCCCTTCCTGGAGGGAGATCCCAGGGAATGTTCCTTTTCCAGGGAATTTCGCCCCTGATGGGGCTGGTTTGGGGGGGAATGTTCCAGGCGATGATTTATGGAATTTTTATGGATTTTGGGATCTCCCGACTCCCTTTGGAAGTGGGATTGCTCCAGCGATCCAAAGAATTCCCTCCAGGAATGCTGAGATGGGAAAAGAAGGGAAAATCCGGGATGTTTGGGTCTGATCACCCCCTCTCCCGATCCTTTTCCCAATCCCGATCCCACTGCTCCTGAAAGATGAGGAAAGTCGGGAAGAGCCCCCTGGGGTGATCCCATGACCTGACCCCTCTCATCCGCCCTTATTCCCTCCGTTTTCCAGGATTTCCGTTGGGAAAAGGAATTTTCCATCCCCTTAAAACCCAACCCCAAGTGAATTATCCAGGGAAATCATGGAATCCCGGCTTTGCTGGAATTCTCCGGAGCTTCCCATGGCCGGGAAGCCCCGAATTCCTTGGAATGCTGCGGGAAGCTGCGAGTGAGGAGGGGGAGGATGCGTGGAATTTTTTTTTCCCGGTTTTCCAGCCGGAAGATGGCAGCAGGCACCCGCAGCATTCCCGGGAGTGGGACCAGCTCCATCCCAACCCTCTGGAATCGGCTCCAACTCCCAAATCCCGACCGGATCCTCCGGAGCTCATTCCCTCCTCCAACCTTTCCCTTGGAAAAAGTAAGTGAATCCCAAAATTTTTTTTTTTTTTTGTCTTCCCCCTGGAGCCGAAATTCCAAAGCGCGGCTTTCTCCTCCCCCCCCCCCCCACCTCGGGATTTGATTCCCAGCTCTCCGTGCCAATGGAAAAAGGGAGATTTGGGAAGCGGGGAGGGAAGGGTGGGAGGGAGCTGCGGTTTCCCGGGAGCCGTTCCCGGAGCGACGGGATCGCCTTTGGGGAAAAAAAAAAAAAAAAAAAAAAAAAAAAAAAAAAAAAAAAAAAAAAAAAAAAAGAAAAAAAAAGAAGGAGCATGGGATGGCTCAGCCGCCTCCTCAGCCAGTTCTCCTGTGAGTCCGCGCCGGGAATGGGGCAGGGATTTGGGATCGGGCTTGGATTTTTTGGGATGGGGAGCGCGCGAGCTGCGTTTTATCCCGAGGGTTTCTCCCAAACTTTGTGTGGGCGAGGTCGGGATGGGGATGAGGGGATGGATGGAGCGGGAGGAGGATGAGGAGGGAGCGGGATGATGCTCCCATCCCAACTCCGCCGATATTCCCAGAGGGATTTTTTGGGGCTTTTTGGTTTTTTTTGGGGGGATCGTCTCCCCTCTCCCATCCATGGATTCCCGAGGAAATTCCCGGCCCTGCGGATCCAGCTGGAGCCGGAGCGTGGGAATTGCGCAGCTCCGTGCGTGGGAGAGGCGCTGCCGGAGCTCGGGAAGTGCCGGGAATGGGAATGGGAATTTTTTTGGGGATCCAAGGAGGCCATCCCGGACTCCCCCAGCTCAGGGATTTGCCCAAGATCCCGGGATTCCTGCGCCTCATCCGCTCGGGAAAAGAATTTGGCGTCCCTAAAAAGTGAAATCGGGATGGATTAGCCAGGATCTGGAATTCCAAATAATGGGAATTTACCGGGGGTTTTGAGGAATGGGGGAGCCCCACATTCCTTTGGAATTCCTTCCCGTTTTTCAGGGATCGTGTCCCGCTTGTCCCACCTGGAGCGGGGAAAATTTGGGAGCAGCGGGGAAGGAGAAGGAGCCGAGGGAAGGGGAAATGGGAATGGAAATGGGGACTGGGAATGAGCCTGGACACCATTCCCGGATGGATCCCAGGCAGGGAAGGATCCTCTGGGCCAGGAATGTGCTGGGAAAATCCCGGCTGGATGAGAGGCTATAAATCCACAGGAATTCCCACCTGGAATTCCAGGAAGCTCTCACCCCCCTCCTCATTTTCCCATTCCCATTTGGAATTCCCAGCTCATCCCGGGATCGCAGCCACCCCCAAAACTTTGGGATGAGCTCCCCGGTGCTCGGCTCCTCTTCCCGCTTTTCCTCCTGGCATTCCCAAAACCATTCTGGGATTGGGATGGGAATTCCTTCTCGGTGAAGGATCCTCGGGGCAGAATTCCTAGGATCTCGGGGATTCCGAGAATGGACTGGGAAAACCCCAACAGGGGCTGCAGATCCACAGGAATTCCCACCTGGAATTTCGGGAAGCTCTCATCCCCTCCCCTTCATTTTCCCATTCCCACTTGGAATTCCCAGCGGGATCGCAGCCACCCCAAAACTTTGGGATGAGGAGCTCCCCACTGCTCCGCTCCTCTTCCCGCTTTTCCTCCTGGCATTCCCAGCATTCCCGTTCTGGGATCGGCATCGGGGGCGCTCGTCCCGCGGGCGGAATTCCAAAGGTGGATCCATCCCTGGCATCCCGGGATGGGGAAGGTGCCGCCGCTTCCCGGGGGGAGTGGCGGCGCATCCCGGGACCGCCTCCCGCTCCTTCCCCCTTCCTGCCCCGGCTCCTTCCGCGCTCCGGGAGCCGCTCCCGCTTTTCCCGGGATTCCACCCGGGATTCCCCCTCACCTGGAGAAGAGCGGGAAGGATTCCTTGGGATCCGCGATCGAATTCCCGGCTGATTCCAAAAAAAAAAAAAAAAAAAAAAAAAAATCTGCGGGACGCTGGCGGGATTTCCCCACCCCCCCGTGCAGGTGAGGGGGATCCCGGAGTTTTTCCTGTTTCCCGATTTATTTTTTTTTTCCATCCCGGCTTCCCCGGGAAGAGTTTTCTGGAAGTGATTGCGGCACCCGCGGGGATCTGATCCCGCCGGGATCCAGCGGGAAGGTGAGAGCAGCTTCCCAGCCTCGGGAAAAAAAAACCTCGGGAAGAGCTTCGGGAATGGGAGCGGGATCCCCTTCCCAACATCCCGGCCAGGTGGGAAAACCGGGATGAGCTCCGGAGGGGATGGTGGAGGGAAGCTCGGGAATTTGGGATTGTGAGAGCCGAGGATCGGGAATTCCCTGGGATCTGCTGGAATCAAGGTTTTCCCGGCGCTGGGGCAGTTCCCGGATTAGGGAAGAGGGAATTGGGAATGTTGTGGATCCTGTTGGGTTTTGGTGCATCCAGGAATTCCTTTGGGATCTGTGAGGATGATCCCGCTGCTGGATCGCTGGGATTGGGATATCCCGGGAATGTCTGACCCTCGGATAGGGACTGGGAAAGTCCTGGGGGTGTTAGAAGTGGTCGGGAATGTCTGACCGGGAATTGGGAAGGATTCGGGAATCTCGGAGGTGCTGCAGGTGAGAAATCCCGGGAGCAGGATGCGAATCCCGGCCTCCAGGATATCCTCGAGCTTTTCCAAGGGCTGGGAATGCAGTGTCGGAATCCTTTGGCTTTTTTCCTGGTGGATGAAGTTGGAAATCTGGGAATTTTCCGGGTGGGTAAAACTTGGGATAACCGGCAGGAAAATCGCACAGGGATAAAAGGAGATTTTTCCCATGGAAAAATCCCGCTGGTTTGGCTGTGTTTTCCCTCGGGATGGATCCCAGGATGGATCCTAGGAAGGGCAGGGATGGATC